GTGTCTGGCATAGGAATGCCGTGTCCGGGCGGTCTCCCTGTAAGCGCTCTGGGCTTTCCCCACAATACGGGCCCTCTGCAGGTGCATGTGTGGTTGTTATTTTGCCAAACGGAAACTTGCTTTGTTGTAACTTTCCCTCTGGGGTGGGGGCGGGGGGGGTCTCTTTTCATTGTCTTTCTCTCCTAATTGGTATTTGTTATAACTCCAAGTTTAGTCTCATCTGCAAGCTTCATCACGGCTCTGATTGCTCCTTTGTCGCTAATAAAAACCTTCGGTGATTACTTACCGTCCATTGTGCGCTCACAATGCCTTAGGAGTTCTGCAGAGGAGCGCATCCCGCTCTGGGCAACCTCATTCTCTCGGCCCTGAAAGGTTTTCCTCAAATAGCTGAGCACAATCGGGTTTTTGTCCTTTTGTGGATTCCCAAACGAGTTATGATTAAGGATCTGTGTGCTGGGTAGACTTTGCAAGCCAAATCCCCAGAGAGTCTCTCATGGGAGGCAGTCCACCTACCTAACCTGGAGTCCTTCATCTGCTGTAAACAGAAGTTAAGAATTTGTTACCTGGGGCTTGGGGGTACGGTTCAGCCCATACAGTGCCCATTGTTACAAGTATGAGAACCTGAGTTCAGATCCCCAGCACCCACACAAACGCCAGAGACACGGGCCTGTGTCTATAAGTGTTATGGGACAGAGATAAACGGTCCCAGAAGTTCATTGGTCCACCAGCTTAGCTGAATCAATGAGCTTTGTATGCGATTGGCTGTGCAGTGTTCTCTGCACCGCGCTGCCAGCTAAAGGCAGAATTAAATTACCTTAAGATATGCCAAGTGATGAACCCCAGGAACCCATGAGCCTGTGTGACCTTATCAGCAAATAGGGTCTCTCTGATGGTCAAGTTGAGTTTCTCAGTGTGGCCCTCAATGTCAATCACAAGCCCCTGGGGTGGGGTGAGCAGGCACTGGGGGAAAATGGAGGCAGAATATGATGATAGATATGGACACCAAAGAAGTCCAAGACCTGTCAAACGCTACTACCACAAGGAAGCAGAGATGTGTGCACCTTCCTTACAGTCCTCAGAAGGTTCCAGGGCATTTGGGCTTCCCATCTGCTCCTCCAAAGAATCTGCAATCGTTAGCCCACATTGTCAACTTGTGGATGAAGAGACATTATTACGTCGTTAGGGAAGCCCACCTTTGAGGGTGTCTATGAAGGCATTTCCACAGGTTAAGAGGAAAAGATCCATCCTAAATGTGGGAGTCAGGATCTCATGGGCTGGTGTGGTGGTCAATCTCCATGGACTCACCACAGAAACAGACCTCTGGGGGTGTCTATGAGGGTGTTTCTACCAGGATTTAACTAAAAAGGGAGGATTCATCATGGATGTGGGCCACGGACCAAATTTTTGGAAAAAACTAACTGAGTCTCAGCATCGTCCCGCACCTCCCTCCCCACCCCAACCCCACCAGCTGACTGTGGGTGGATGCTATGTGACCAGCTGCCCCATGCCCCGGTTGACAAAGCCCTCAAACTGTGAGTTGGAAGAAATCCTTCCCCACCCTTCGTTGCTTTTGTTGGGATCTTGTCAAAGCAGGGAGAAATCCTGACACAGCTGAGATCCAAGAATGAAGGAAAGGGGAGGGAGCAGGAAAATCAAGTGAAGGCCAGCAGCTCTCTCTCTTGTGCTCTACTTGGTTGAGATGTAAAGAGTCTCAGCCACAGGGCTATGCTGCCAGGGACTCTGCTCTCCATTCCCCACTGTAAAAGACTGGCACCCTCTCCAACCATGAGCTGAAGGAAGTTGTCAGTGGCTTCTATTTTGTCGCAGAGATGAACAGTCTCCGAATACAGATGCTGTGTTCTGAGTGGCAAGACCCCCTCTCTCCCTCCTTGCCTCCCCCTCTTCCTCCCACCTCCCGCCATACTCAGCACCCAATCTTCAGGCCAGTCAGTGAAGCAGTTACAAAAGATGGAGCCAGGCGGGATTATACAAAAATTCACCTGTATTCCAGCCAAAATATCTTTAAAAAGAAATCCCTTCGAAAGGGGAGACAGACGACGTAAGACGCAATACATTTAAAATATGTATTGAAATTATAAATCCAACGTGTCCATAGGGTTCTAAAGTACAAATCACAACATGGAAAGGCATTCAAACAGCTCTTACACATCACAGTGTTAGTGGTACGAAGTGTACTCACGTTTCAAAACCACAAACGCAATTTTCTCATATATAATTTTTTTGTTTGTTTGCTTGCTTGTTTGGTCTCACCGTAACCATTCATCAAATACAGAATGCATACGTGTGCACGTGCACATGACTGACACATGCATGTTTTTATACAAGGTTAAAATACACTCGAGGCAAAGTTAGCAAAGTCTCAAAGAAAAGTCAGGCACGTGGCACACAGCTACACCTAACTGGAGGGTCTTGGGACATTGGAAGACAGGATTATACAAGCCAGGAGGGCTGGAGAGATCGTAGGGCTTTAACTGTCAAGAGTGGGCTCTCCTAGTCATGGGGCATCAGCAATTGTTTGAACATAAGCCCTTCCCTCCTGGTTGAGTTTTTTTTTGGCGACAGTCAGTTATAATCTCTTTACCTCATTCAACTTCATAAGGGTTTGGGTTCATTGTGTGGGAGAAACAAGCTTTGGTATTTTTATTTTTTAAAGGAAACCGTCATGAAATTGTATACATGCAAAGTGGTTTCCCTTGAAGATTTCATTGTGATTTACATATATATATTCGCAGGTGTGTTTATCTATCTGTGGGACTCTGGGAAGTACACAAAATAAACCCTCCCTCATTCTCTCCATTCCCCTAATTTTTAAAGGCTACCAAAGGAAACACTTCGAATTCGTGAAATAACCTCTCCCTTTTCTAAGACCAATGGAAAAGATAAATTCATCTTTAAGCCAGCTGTTCAAGGCTGACAAGGCTTCCTCCCCAGGGATTGTATTCAATGGGGAACTTGGCCAGGGTCTTACACCTGTTTTATGGAACAATACATTGTAGAGAGGATTTGTTCTCTTCGAGATAAGATATCAAAGTGGGGTAGGTGTTGGTTCCACAGTCTGAGCTACTCCCAGGTGGTGAGGTGGGCCATAATTCATGGAATCCAAATCTTTGTCCCAAGGAGCTGGTTCTCTGTCCTCCATGAACACCGACCATGACTGCCTCTGAAGGCATCACCCTGGGGAGTCTGTGAAGCTATGGGCTGCAGGGCTGAGCTTGGCAGGGATTAGTACCCCCAGTAAGACTGTGGCAGAGTCAGCCACCCAATGGCCTCAGATAACCCACAGGTCAGCAGGCCCTCAGTGGAACCCTACTAGAGAGCCCCACAGCCTGTCACTAAGAGTCTCTTCCACAAGCTCAGGACTGAATGGTCTTTTTCCATCAGGAAAGTGGTCCGTCTCATTGAACTTCATTTTCAGTTCTGACCAACCACACTGAGCAACAGAAATGTTACTATCATCACAGAGCACTTCAGGCTACTCAGGACTTACAGCAAGACCAGTTGCATCTGGGGGAGGGCATCGTCACTGTTCCACGTGCATTTTTACATCACACATGGTTCAAGCTGAGTGTCCATAGTAAACGGGTGTGGAAGTCTCTACTAAAAGGACTCCCATAGGGAACAATGCAAGTCTATATATTTCAGTGTGATCTTGCTGGTGTTTCTAGAGGGAGTGGACGAGTTAGTTTTTATTACTAAATCCAGCTGAGCAAGTATGCTTGATACAAAGGCTCACGGCAGACAGGGATCCTCTGTCCAGACGTGGTCAGCCCCAGCATCTCTATGGTTCCTGCCTGCGTCCAGTCATGCACTTGGGAAGACCACTGTGGGCTGAAGTGTAAGTAGGTGGGGTCACAGAGGTGTGTGAACTTTCAGAAGTCTCCCAGATACAAAGTGACTCCATCTTTGATTAGGGAGCCTGAGCTGCGTTCTGGAAACACAGTCTCCTAGAAGGCCGCTGCTCCCACTGCAAGGATGAAAGCCACCAAACAATGAGACAGACAGTGGTGGTCAAGGCAGGGTGGGAAGGATCGTGGTCTTGTGAAACCCAGGCTGGCTGCCACCTCTGAGAAGCATTTTAAAGGGTGGTGGCCGGATGGTTTCACATACAAATTCCAGGCTTGAGGTCTTGAATCCAGCCACAGACTCACATAAAATCGTCAGTCCTTTCCAGAAGAGCCAGGCCACCTTGCCCCCTTGTTCCCAACCACAGAGGCTCAAGGCCAGGCTTCACCCAGAATGAAAGTCTCAGAGGTCACACCTGGCTAGTGAACTTTTTCATTTCAACTACAGGACGACTTTCTGAGCATGGTTTTGAAGTGGACCGAGCTTCTAAACAACTTTAGCTTAATAAAGAAAAATCAATATCAGCCAGTGGTTGTCCTACCTCACTCACCGGCAGTTAAAAAGAAAGAAAACGAAGTCACTCCTGGACAGGCAGTGGCTGCTAGGACTTGACATTGGCCCAGAAGTGCAGAGTCACACAGACAGTCACTAAGGAGGCCATGGGCTTATGAGAACAAGGGCTGAGGTGACAGGACTCCGGGTCTGCTTTACTTCTTTGTAGGATGTTCAGTAAGCCTTTAGACCACCATCCCCTGTGATCCTCTACAGCTCCACCCTGCTCCTGGGAAGCATGGTGGGCTCTGAAAGTCAATTCTGAAAGAAAGCACTCTCTCTGCTATTTTTGGAGTCCATCAGTGGAGTGCCTGGGTCTTACTACCTTACACTTGTTGACATGGGAACACACAGCCCCAAGAAGGACCAAATTGCAAACTCACTCCCCACGGCAGAATAATTAAGTGAAACAGAAGAGTTCTTTCTTTCTTTTCCTTTTCCTTCCTTCCTTCCTTCCTTCCTTCCTTCCTTCCTTCCTTCCTTCCTTCC